GGGGAGGAAGTCCTGCTTCAGGTGGAGGAGTTTAAGTATCTTGGGGTCTTGTTCACGAGTGACGGTAGGATGGAACGTGAGATTGAAAGGCAAAGCTCTCGGTTTACCGGTCGATCTACGTTTCTACCCTCACCTATGGTCATGAACTCTGGGTCATGACCGAAAGAACGAGATCCCGGATACAAGCGGCTGAAATGAGCTTTCTCCGCAGGGTGGCAGAGCGCTCCCTTAGAGATAGGGTGAGGAGCTCTGTCATACGAGAGGAGCTCGAAGTAGAGCCGCTGCTCCTCCACATCGAGAGGAGTCAGCTGAGGTGGCTTGGGCATTTACATCGGGAGGTGCTCGGGTCCTGTCCCTCTGGGAGGAGACCTAGGGGAAGACCTAGGACACGCTGGAGCGACTACGTCGCTCGGCTGGCCTGGGAGCGCCTTGGGGTCTCTTCTTTATGCGATTTTTTATAGCTTCACCTCCACTGATTAATGTGAGTCTACAGCGAATAGACATTGAATGATAGCTTCACCCAGAGCGGAGAGATGAAAACAGGTCTGGGTTGATTTACTCATGTCTCTATCATGTTCTGATCTTTATCATCATCATCACTTTGGTCATTATGGTAAAATAAAGGCTGTGAGTTAGAAGAAAAGGAGAAGTTGGATTGAGCTGGATTGGGTGATAGAGAGCATCCCGAGGGGAGAGAGAGTGGTGGTTGTGGTTGGAGCAAACTTTAATGGTCATGAGAAGGGAACAGAGGTGATGAGGAAGTGATGGGCAGGTTTGGCATTAGGGATAGAAACTTCGAAGGACAGGCAGTGGTAGATTTCGCAAAAAGAATGGAAATGGCTGTAGTAAAGACCTATTTCCAAAAGAAAGGAACACGGGGTGACTTACAAGAGTGGAGGCAGGTCCACACATAGATTATATTCTATGTAGAAGATGTAATCTGAGGGAGATGTTCTGGTGCCAATTTATAAGAAGGGTGATGTGCAGAGTTGTAACAACTACAGAGGGATAAAGTTGATGAGCCATACGATGAAGATTTGGGAAAGAGGAGTTGAAGCTAGGTTGAGGCAGGAAGTGGAGATTTGTGAACAACAGTATGGTTTCATGCCTAGGAAGAGTACCACAGATGCAATATTTGCCTTGAGGATGCTGATGGAGAAGTACAGAGAAGGTCAGAAGGAGCTACATTGTGTATTTGTAGATTTTTAAAAGGCATATGACAGTGTGCCATGGGAAGAATTGTGGTTTTGTATGGGGAAGTCAGGAGTGGCAGAGAAGTATGTTAGATTGGTGCAGGACATGTATGAGAATAGTACAACAGTGGTGAGGTGTGCTGTTGGAAGGACAGAAGACATTCAAGGTGGAGGTGGGACTACATCAAGGATCGGCCCTGAGCCCCTTCTTGTTTGCTTTGGTGATGGACAGATTGACAGATGAGGTCAGACAGGAGTCCCCATGGACTATGTTGTTTGCAGATGACATTGTGATCTGTAGTGAGAGTAGGCAGCAGCTGGAAGAGAACCTAAAGAGGTGGAGGTTTGCACTAGAAAGAAGAGGAATGAAGGTCGGTCGCAAAAAGAGTACATGTGCGTAAACCAAAGGGAGAACAGTGAAATAGTGAGGTTACAAGGAGAAGAAGTGGTGAAGGTGCAGGAGTTTAGGTACCTAGGATTAACTGTTCAGAGCAGAGGAGACTGTGGAAGAGAGGTGAAGAATAGAATAGTGTCAGCCAAGGTGAAGGGAAAGGTTTATAGGACGGTGGTGAGACCAGTCATGATGTATGGTTTAGAGACACTAGCAATAGGCAAAAGACAGGAGATGGAGCTGGAGATTAAAGATGCTAAGGTTCTCTTTAGGAGTGACAAGGATGGACAGGATCAGGAATGAGGTCATTAGAGGGACAACACAGACAGGAAGGTTTGGAGAAAAAGCTTGAGAAGCAAGATTGAGATGGTTTGGACATGTGCAGAGGAGGGACAGTGGATACATTGGTAGAAGAAACATACAACACAACAGGGAAATTAGGTATTTCATCATCTACTGCCCTGGAAAACCATTTCCAGTTAACACGGCTCTACATCGATAAGTGTAAAACTCCGGCATACGAAGTGTGAATTATTTATCAACAGAGCCTGGAAATACAGTTTGATTTTCTGGAGACTGTTGCTGTGGTTGGAAGAATCCATATTTCCTATAGTTTTGGGAAACTTTGGACAATAAGGCTAAATAGGAAATTTTTAATGTAGCAAAGTTCAAAAGCAGGTGATATCAGTGATATCTTAGTGGTTCACCTGACAATCCTACCATCCAAACAATGTCTCAACACAACAGTGTAGGTGTTGTATTACAAAGTCGCGGGTACGAGACTGGCTACTGACTGACTAGTTGTTGTTTGTAGTCACACTTGACTGTACAAAAGTATCCAATTGTTGCAACCTGGTTTATTGTCAGACAAAACCCATTGTGTTTTGCAGGATGGTGGATTTGGTTCTGACACCTTGACTAAATGCTTTCAGCTTTTATGTTGATGAATACATAGAAATTGTAATTTTAAATGTATTTAATAGTGTGGCAAAGATTCAGATTCAGGTTTTTCTCGAAATAGCCACTATTTACATGAGACTTGGGTGTAATGAAATGTAAGTGCACAGGGATGCATGGGAAATTACGCAATTTCTACATTAGAACCATAAGCCATAATGCAGCACGCCAGACAGAAAATCACTCAAACTGCCAAGCCACTCGACTCTAAAATCACTCAGCCGTCATCAGAGACACTTGAGGCCTGCCTCAGAGAAACTATCATGTATTCACACAGGAGACACTTATGCACTTATGCGTATTGGCTTCATTAGGTGTGCATGTATATGTATCAGAATCTCAGAATCAGAATCAGAATCTCTTTATTGTCATATGCACCAGGGAAGGTGATACGAAATTTGGTTTGTACGACCCGTTCCAAGAAAAAACATGAATAGACAATAAAAACAATACAAATAATTGACAAGAGGGGACAGGAACAGGAAGGCCAGGACGCAGCCCGTGGTCAGCGCACCCTTATATTAGATGAAAAACAAATGAAAAACGATAGGGAAGGAGGAGGAGGGAAAAAAAAGACAACTCCAAAGTAGGCGCCGTGGGGAGGGGGGGGCGCAGTGTGGGATTTAGAAAAAAAACCTCTCAGCACAAAGCACAATCAAAGACATTATAACAGGACGAGAACATCTGCACATGTGGGAGTGGGGCGGGAGCATGGGGGCGGGGAGTTACAGCACGATCGAGTCTGGGGGGGCTGCTGCAGGACCTGCGCTGCTCTCGACCTTCACCAACCGCGTCGCAACAGGGGAGGGAGGGAGGCTGTAAGGGGCCAAAGAAGGCGTTGAATCAGGGGTAAGGGTGAGTGTCCCAGAGGGGGGGGCGGGGGTCGGAGCGTCTTGTCTGCAGAAACATCCAGGAGAGGAGAGAGATAACCCGCCTTGGGAAGGCCGGGTGGGCGACGCTGGAATCTTCTGTCTGCCCTTGAGTGTCTCTGAGTCTCCCGGTGGCTTGCTTCAATATGTCCGAATTTGGTGGCCAGATTCAGCCGACCCGAGCCGCCAGCTTCTCCAAGTTGGTATCCAGTATGCGAAAGCGCTCGGAAACCGCATCCAGTTTGCGGTTGAGGTCGCAAATCGCTTGAGTCTGAGTGTTGATGGCCCTGCCCCATCCGTCAGTCAGGGCGATGAGCTTGTCAATTGCCAATTGTAGCATCATCTTTTTTTCACGATGGAACAGGAAGGTGCCCAGGCCAATCAGCAGAAAACCTGCCATCATAAATCCAAATAGGTACAAATCTTCGACATCCTCCATGGAAAGCGCGGACAGGCACACGATCCTCCATCTCTCCCAGGAGTCCAATGTGTATCTGGCCGGGAAGGTTCCCTCAGGGCAGGCGGGTTCTCCTTTACCCATTTTCATGGTTGAGAAAATTTGATTAATTGCGTTGAGAGACCAGTTGACCAGATCCATCATTTTGATTTTGGAGGAAAATGCAGAGAGAGGCTGCGAAATAGTTTGACAGAGACGGTACAAGACACAGAGCAGTAGCAGGGCAGATAAGGGCAGGGAGGGAGCAAGAGAAAAAGCATCCGCCTTCTTCGAGAGGTTGTGGAAAAAAAAAAAATGTATAGGCATAAATGTGAAGAAACCTGCAAATAGGAATAGAGGTTTTAGTGCTTTTCTAGCATTTTAGTGAGTAGGACTTGTCTACTTGTACTGAATGTATGCACATTCTAGTGTCTCCTTCCCAGACAAGACATTTAGAAAAATTTTTACAGGCACCAAACGAGCCACATATCAACCTTGGATCTGTGTTAGCTAATGGTAACTGAAACTAATATTTAACACACCAAAGAAAAACAAAATCACATCCTTTGGTTCATTACAAGTTTGGTTATTCACATCTATATGTTATGGATCGAATGTAATGACTTCAGTGACATCTAATTAAGGTGCAGCCGTGGTGTATGAAATACAATATATTAATGCAGACTGTATCGGAACAGTGAAGAATTAGAAATATAACAAATGGCAACAACATATGGAACAGATATATTTAAAGGTGAGGTACTGTAGTTCAGCTAAATTCATGTTTAACCATTACTATGATTTTCAATAAAATACATCATCGACATGTGAGTTACTCATCACGAGCATCAGTCTACAGATGCATATGTTAGCAATTTGTGCAGTAATTGTGATTTACATTGGGGACAGCATTCTTTAAATTATATTCAGCAGTGAACCATATATGCTGTTAACAACACACACAGATGTGAATAAAAGAAGAACGCGGCAGTGGGAGAACACATCGCCTGTTAACAGACTTGCCATTATGTCATACAGTGACATGTGACATGCTTGTAGCTGATGTCATATTTGACGAGGAGTTAATGAGAAATCCAGTGGTTGCCTTTTGTTCCAGTGCCTTGATCATTGACTGAGACAATGGAGAGACACGTCTAACCCTGTGACAGACGGAACATGTCAAGTGTTTTCACTTGCTATAACACGTATATGCTCATGTGAGTTCACGTGTGGAAGCGAGAGCATGTACATGTGTGACAGTTAGATTCTGACTCGTTCTGATGTGATATTATTCTGCTGCAGGGGATCAAAATTGAAGCGGGAGAAAATCCACGGTGCAAGAGAAACAACAATGACAGAGAGCGTGAGTGGGCTTTAGTGGGACAGAAAAAATAGAAAGTATGAAAAACAGACACAGGGAGAGAAACCTGAGGAAAATGGGTGAGGAAGGCGGGACATAGGCAGGAGACACATTGAGAGAGAAAATATATATATATACTGTACCAGCTTTGCACATCTAGAGACAGAAATTTTTGCCCATTCTTATTTGCAAAACAGCTCAAACTCAGTCAGATTAGATGGAGAGCGTTTGTGAACGGCAGTTTTCAGATCTTGCCACAGATTCTCGATTGGATTTAGGTCTGGACTTTGACTGGACCACTCTAACACATGAATAAGTTTCGTTTTAAACCATTCCATTGTAGCCCAGGCTTTATGTTTAGGGGCGTTGTCCTGCTGGAAGGTGAATCTGTGCCCCAGTCTCAAGTCTTGCACACTCTAACCATCTTCCCTGATCCCTGCTGAAGGTGAAGCACCCCCAGAGCATGATGCTGCCACCACCATATTTGACAGTGGGGATGGTGTGTTCAGAGTGATGTGCAGTGTTAGTTTTCCGCCACACATAGTGTTAAGCATTTAGGCCAAAAAGTTCAATTTT